AACATTAAAATGCTCTGCAGCTTTACATTGGCTTTTGTTTTCTAAATATTTTATAACACTTTTTCTTCCCATGTTAGTTCCTTCTATGGCTTCCCAATAGACATGATGCAGTAGATTACAAGTTTTTCACAAGCGGTACCACAAAACTTGATCTAAAATGTTAGAAATTCTATTAAATATACAGTCTATGCAAAATTAAACACAAAAGTATGCAACTTGTGGCCAGATTCGATCAGTGATAGTGTGAATTTGCATACAAATTTCTAAACATAATGTATTTTCTCACACCAGTTTGGAAATTCTTATTCTAACTATTGTACCAGCGATGTAGGGCCTATTGTCAAACCACCGGCTTTAGGAATTCGTCATATTAGAGGCTGCAAAAGCTAAGAAATGGGATGAGTCAAAGTTTTATGGTCATCATACAACTTACAGGAATCATTATTGTATGTAATTATATGTATGACTGACCATTTATTCTAAAAATGATCAACATAAGGAGGTAGTCATCTTTGGAGGTTTTACTGTATATCAAAAACTATTAATAATTAATATTTTGAGAGTAATTTATTTTTCTGTTTTTTTAAATAATAATAATAATAAATTTTATTGTATTCAACACAATAATATTGAAATTACAAAAATCAATACTTGATCACATACTTGAGTGAAACTGGATTTTTGAATTATACTGCAACAGAAACTAAATACAAGATTTGTATAAATGCCACATTTAATATGCATATTCAGCTCTCAAGTATTAAACCAAATACTATATTAAAAAATGTACAAAGAAAAGAATAAATGTCTTCTCGCTAAAAACTAAGGATATCATAGATTTATTTTTTAATGTTTTAATGATATCTACAAGAAAATAATATGCTTTAGCATTTTTTAAATTATTATTATTTCTTAATCCTAGTCTTTATTTTAAGTTCATATATAAGTATTCTACTAGGGTTCTGCAATTTATTATTGAGTTCAAAAGGATTTGTGACCAAATTAACTTAGGAGACACTGCATTAGAGAAACAAGTTTTGTCATTTTTTAAATCAAAATTTTGTTTGTCTGAAACATTGCTTTTTTTTTTTTTTTCATTTCTTTAGCTTTTTTTCTAACATTATTAATTTCACTTTTTCCTGATTTGGTTTCATTTTATGGTCATGCCATTTCTGTTATGTTTCTCTCTCTCTCTTTTAATCTGGATTCTGGACTTGTTTACCGAAAGCCAATCGACTATGGGTTGGATTAAGCTGCGTATACATGATCAAATTTTCTTGCATCAAAAAATTGAATTGAGAAAATTTGAAGACAATATTCTGCCTACACAATTATATACAGTTTGGTGAAAGATCTGAGAAACATGAAAAAATCAGATAATTTTTCAAGGTAAAGTTGGAGAATTACTTAAAAATACCTGGAAAATGGTTCATGATTGTGATAATCCTGCCTGAAGTCTTCTCACATCCTTTGAAGATATACAGTATAACCAGTCTAGTGTGAATTTGCTACTATTTTTAGCAAGCCGAATCACATGATGTTCATACTGCTCTTTGTTTCTTGCCAGTTCTTTTGTATAGATAGATGTACCAGCTATTGTAATGTTGTCACATTTGAATTTTTCATCCTAAATTTATTTAATAACTTACATTAACAGTTAAAAATGACAGAGAATATGTAATTTTTAACTGTTGCTGAAAGTTAGTAAAATCTATGACACATTGTGTATGACATTTATATGTTATCTTTATTAGACATTGTGATGTCTAATAAAGATAACATATAAATGTCATACACAATGTGTCATTGATTGGCTTAAGATTGCAATTTACTTTTGTTGTCAATTGTATAGGCATTATTCAGCTAATTGAGTTGTTGTTTAACCAGTCATTGAGTTGTTGTTTAACCAATTATGAAGTTGTTTTTGCTTGATTTTATGTATTTCGCATAAATGAAATTAGAATTTATATTAGTATTTATTAGAAATAAATGCATATTTGATAATGAAATGAACAAATAGGAAAGGTGGTCTGCTTGCAAAAACCAAAATGTCTTATAAATTTAAACTTCCCTAATGTCAGTCTGTAATTTTAAAAAAGTAGCAGGCACACAGTGTGGTTTGTAATGACGCTAATAATTGTAAAATATACATGAAACAGTCTGTGTTAGATTTGTTTCTCATTCATAATTTGGGTGAGCTATAAACACACACACTTAATATTATTGCATTTTAATTTAAAAAGCTACTTATAAATTTAAGTCATTAACGTATAAATTTGTACAGTCACATCACAAAGTTTTATTTACAAGTAAATCTCAGTATTCACGTATTTGATATTCTCGCTTTTGCTTATTTGTGATTGAAAAGTTGTGACTGTCCACATTACTGTTTGTGCTGTATTTGTGTATTTGCAAACTTTTTTTTTACTGTAATAGAAATATACAGTACAGTGCTTTTAAAAAACGTGCTTTCTGTTAACTCCAATTTTTACATTGCTTGACATGAAGAAGCACTACTATACTACAAAACTGAAGTCATCTCATTATGGCAACAATGCCTTCTGCCAAATAATACATGTCAGTTTATGTATTAATATATATATATATATACTCTATACAATAATAATAATCTGATATAATAATATAAAAGAATGCAAAGCAAATATTTGGTAAGGGTTTGGGAAAAGTAGACAGAAAATGCTGAGAATATACTCTACCATACAACTGCAGAACCCATAAATGAGGAACTGGGCATGTTAATTACAGAAAATTTGCATCACAGCAAAGAGGAAGATGATTAACAGGAAAAAATGCTAAAGCTGCCAAAAACATCTTACAGGCTTTCAAAAATATACAGCACTATTGATACTAGGAATTGCAAGAATCAAACCCTATTCCTGAGTGCAATCTCAAATTTAAGCAAGCTTTAGAAGCAGCCTGGCTCCTGTGTGCTAAAATTTTGAAGGACGTAAATAAAAATAAAATCTGTCAAGCAACATTAACTCAGTTTTTCCAAATTCTTGTAACATCTCCACAATTGAATTAAAATGTAAGGCTAATGTTTTAATATAATTAAACATACTGTATAAATAAAATAAACATTAGTTAATTGTTATTATTTGTTTAGTAAATCTCATGCAAAAGTTTAAGTATTCCCAAGACTTCATGTTTTAGCTCAGTCACATTGACACGAGCCGCAATAACCTAACTTGATTTACTTGTAGGCCTTCCTATTTGGTATTCACGTGATTTTCAAGGAACCTGACCATCACAAATACAGAGAAGTTACCTGTATTACAAAATAACATATTCTGAATGTATATAACAGAATAAATCTTAACTTTCGGCAACTATGAATGAGTCACAGTAGCATGACATATAGTTACGAAAATAATTATAGCTGTTAAAAGTTGTGTTCTTAAACACTGTGGCATTAATTTTAAAAAGACTGAAAGATTCAACAGTTAAAATTATTTTATTTTATATTTATTATATACTTAATATCAAATAGAAATAAACAAAAAATAATATTTAGATGTGACTAACAATTTTTGATATTATTTAAAAATTGAATGCAGCTCTGTATTTGGATTACTCTTGCACCATACTAGCGTTATCTCAAAAATTTGCATATAAAAATTATTTTACTGTTAGCATTAATACAAATGACAAATAACGCAATGATACACAATCGGAATTAATTGAAAAAATGTTAGGATATTTTTTAAGAAATTAATTCAAAATTTTGGGGTGTTTTTGTCTCAAGGCTGGACTCGTGAAAGTGTCATTAGTAATAATGTCATACACTAATAGTATGTTAAAAATGACAGTTTAGTGAATCAATAAATGAGCATTATTTGACAAACTTGCCTACATGACTGCGCTGTACAGCAGACACTTTGCAAGTGGCAACATTAGCTTCACTCCAGATTTTATAGTTTAAATATGGCACCCAGAAAGGAATGAGTAATGAGAAACACTGCCCCACCTCTACTGATATACTGTTGATGTCGGCATTCTACTTTCTTGAGATTTAGAAATTTTTGAATATTCAGTTGATGACAGAGTTCTCAGATTATTTATTTGTTTTTTTTTTTTAAATGTCATTGGCATCATATAAGAATGCTTGCTCCACTTATGTGAGTGACTCCATGTTTATTTCTCTTGTAATAATAACTGGAAGTCATGTTTCATAGATTAGTTATAAGCTTTTCCACTTCTTGTCACATGAGAAAAATGCTTTATCACAATTGGTAAAAACTTGAATATAGTAGAACAACATTTTACTGTAGAATTCTTGAATTTAAGAACTTATTGTCTGCTCTGCATTATTAAAGTAGCTTAAATACAAATTTCTGTTCAAGAAATTTGATCATGTACAGTACATACACCTTTATACAACAGCACTTGCAACTCTGATCTAGTAATAATTAGTTTTTAGCGAAGTTAGCTGTTGCCCTATGAAGATATCTTTTTTTTAAAAAAAGGGATTGGGTATCATTAATTACAAATTTATAGAATTTCTATTAATTAATGTAAAGAATAAATTTAAATTCTAATCAACAACATTCTTTTTCTTGATTAAATCATAGAAAATATTGACTCTGGAAATTGATTGTTGAATAAGTTTTGTTATATATTCTGCATCCTTTGAATTTTCATTTTGATTTTCCTTTTGTGTGTGTGTGTGTTTTAGTTATCCAACTTGTTAACATTGATTTTATAAATATAATTTAGAAGTCATTCAGTCAGATAGTCTATCAGATGTACCCAAAAGGCAAAACACAACAACAAATACAATTATCCAGCTAAAGTATAGACATTATTCTTCGAAAGTAATTCAGAGAATTTAATTTTATTAATATTATTTAATTAAACTCAGTATTATTGATGTTAAATACAATAAGATTGAAAATGTCATGCAATTGTTGAGATTGTTAATAAGATTTTATTTACAGTATATCAATAAGAATCTTTAATTTTTTAATTTGTTTAATTCAAATTATATATGTTATTAAATAAATTGCAATGATATAATTTCATTTAATATATATAATATAACTTTATAAAATTCTGTACAATGTATTTTATTTTAAATTCCCTTTAATTTGTTATGAAATATTCACAGATGAACACAAATCATCCATCTTTGCACACACCATCTGTTTCTCGACTTTCCCAACCATCTCCCGGACACATTAAAGGGGGAATGCCATCGCCACATTCACCTACTCCATCTCCCGCCGGAAGTGTTGCTTCTGTTGGATCTCAGAGTAGCGGATACAGTAGTAGTGAAATTAATGGTGCTCAGCCACGGATTCACGGCACCGATAGCATTATTGGAACTCCGTTATCTACTACAGGTTTGACTCAGCAACAGCTTTCTCAAGATCACGACGTGATCAGTTTACCACATCATACGTATAGTATGTTGCAACGCCAAAGTACTTACCTATCACATTTACACCTTTGTCATGATTTGTGGGAACAGGCAGATATTCGAATCACACACGGCCATTGCAAAGGTAATTCAGTAATAAATTTATTATTTTATACGTGCGAAAAATAACAAGAAAATACATATCTTAACTTATTTTTTCAGAGTTTTTCAAAATGTTGGATAGTCAGTGTGGACAAATCACATTACACAGTACATTTTCCGAACTGGTCGAATATGTTCGCAAAGGACTTCGCATTCTAAAAGAGGAAACGTGATGTACAAGGCTTAATTATTTGCCCAAGATCTGAAGGAGAAACATGCGACCTGTTGTATACATTTTGTACATAATTTGTATATAATATAAAATCACTCGTGACTAAAAGTGCAAGACTCTCACAACAAATAACAGAAGAGCGTAGAGAGGGTCAGTGCAGTATCGCGTTCATCCACCAATCTGTATATGGGTTTCCTAATTGTATTTTATTGATCTGTTGCTGCTCCGTTGCAGCTCTCCATACGACAATGTACAGTTACATTCTGTTTGTTTTGGAAACAGTATAAAACTATGCCCGTACTTACAGGTGTGGATTCAAGAAAGTCATCATAATCAACATTGAGTGAAACTGTTTAAAACAGCAAATTTTTATTGCAAAAACATTAATGTTTTTTGATTGAAACATGTCCTATTTATTAGAGTGAAATATATATTTTTGAAGGAATGTGGTGATTATAGCATAATTATTTCTTAATTTTTTTTCTTGTGCATAAGCTATATTTTCATACTTGCTGCTTACATATATATTATAGATGTTGGGTTCAAGCAATCATATATGGTGCTTCTGTTAATACTTGTTTTTTTCTCTCCCTGATTGTTTCGATTACCATTAAAAATTCTTTTCTCGATAATTTGATATTTTATCATAGTAACGTAGAAAGTGTATTTATTTGCAGCTTCGAAATACTCAAACCTCTATTATTTAGGTCCTTAATTGTTTCAGCAAGAAATTTTTTTTTCTTTTACTAAATCAATATATTTCTTCTGTTATTGAGAGCACAACAATTCCAAATATATATAATTCCACATGTAAATTGCAATCATAATATATACATCAGTCGTGTTGGATTGGATTTGCTCAAAGACCAGAATTCTTACATCATTTATGTAAAATTGTTTCAATGTGCTCAAGCATTTTCTAATTTCTCAAAAACTGCTCAAAGCTACTCTTATTTACATGTAGGATTTTTCTTCTATTTCAAATTTCTTCCTCGCTTGCAAAAATGAATTGTTTGGATGCACGAGACATTAGGTTCGTCGGAATTAATTCTAATTACTAACCAACTCTAGTAATGAATTCAAATACTGACCAGATTCGTAGTATTTTAATATAATTTATATATTCAATATATAAGCACGATACTTTATTTAATTAGAATATAAAATATATTTTAAGAATTTTAGCTTGTTCTACTTAAGTATTTATGAAGTTTTTAATAAAAAAGAAAACACAATATCCAACTGAAAATTTGAATACAATAAAAGTGGAATTTTATAATGAAATCAAACAATTGCGAAGACAACGGCAAACGAAATTTTTTATTCAGCATAAAATCTTACTCATTAATTTAATCATAAACATTTAATAATCAATTTTAAATAGCATTTGTTATCAAAACTTACGAGAGAATTGGAATTTTCATATTTTGAGAAAAATATTTCATAGTGAAATGAAATAAGTAAATAAACCTTTTAACATTCTTTTTACAAATCAAAAAAAGAAATTGTTTGTAGACTGTCATAACAATAAACTGACATAACAATAAATATAGACATTCTTTTATATTTTCAGGATGATTAATTTACTATGTATTTTTTGTGCCAACGGGTCATTGTTTCGCTTATATATACATGCATACATACATACATATATATATACATATTATATATATATATATAAAAATAAATGAAAAGGCATAATGCCTTATCTGTAATAGTTTGAGATACCAAATAGAATTTATATAAATTTAATTACAGCATAATTTGTATTCTTATTACTCATATATCTTAGCTTTAAACAAACGTAGAAATTGTACGTAGCTTATTATGTTCCTATATATTCTTTGTACAGAATATTGTACAATGATCTGTGAAATTTGGTTCAAACGTTAGAAGAATTTCAATAAAAAAGTGTTTAAAAAAGAAAAAACATTTCCATTTTGCTCTGCTGAATGTCTTTATAGAAAATTTTTCAAAAATTGTATAAAAATGTATTATGTGAGTGTTTGTATAAGAGAAGAAAATTATTATTGCCCGTGTTGAATGTATTTTATCATGTCACAAACTGGATGAATACTTTGAGCAGTGAAATTATGTTATTTAAAAAATATTATTATTATTATTAATTAATTAATTAATTTAAGAATTTTTGAGCACTGCTTTTTAATTTAAATTTATTTTTGTAGCACAAAATGCATGAAATTAATTCCATTGTTTATTGACTTGAATGTGGCAGCACTATCTTGTAACTAATTCCTGCATCACCACATTAAAATATATTTGTTATGTATAGTACGTTCTTGTATATTCTCCTTTTTAACCCCATTGAGAAATGTATTTGGATGCTAAACCCCGTAATGGTTAACATTCATCTCTGCTTCCAAATTTGTCACCACTGAAGTTGTAAACATGTACAGAGTTGATCATCCCTTCCCATTAGAATGTTATCATTGATCTGTAAATGAAATGTATACCTTGTACTTTGTATTTCTACAAAGACAATAACAAATATAGTAAAACTTTTTATTTGAGTTTCTCTGTCTTTTTTTATGATATTTTTTTAAAATTGGGGCGACCAGATACAGTTATAACTACTAATCAAACTAATAAGGCCATCCTTTGGTAGTATGTTTTCACAGTTATTCCCAAATAAATAATATAAATAGGTTAAAATAATACAAATATTTAACCTATGAACACTTTGTACAACAATGTGAATGAAGACTTGTACAAAAAAACATTCTATGCCATGTATTTATACAATTTTAAAAGTTTATTAGATGTTTGTATTATTTTAGATTAGACTAGGGGGAGAAATTTTTCGTTATTATAGTTTATTGGACAGCATATAACTTACTGTGATGGAACAAATTCAGAATGCTGTTATGAGCCTATAATCGCAACTATTAAAATTGAAAAAATTTGGTGTTACTACTAAATTGGACCATTAACAACAACTTTCTATCCTATTTTGTAGATCCTACATATTAATTTTTGTTAAATTTGTAAGAACTAGCCTAAGTCTAAGGTCAAACATTCCATTAAATGTACCATACATGTACAACCAAACCCTATCCTGCGGTTGCACGATGAAGTGTAACTTCCAAGCCAGTTAATGAAATATATCACAGAGGGTAGACGAAGCATGAATATTTCTAAAATAATCATTTTATCTGTTAGAAAACAATAAAATTTAAAAAAGTGTTACCACCAGACCTGATCTTCCCTATAATTATATTTTTCAATATATATACAGTAGTTCATGTAGAAATATTGACAGAAGAAAATTTGAGTTATCATACATCTTACAACTAACCAAGTAACTTTAATAACAGATCGACAAGTTTACGGATCACTTCTTTTCCAGTACGGAAAATAAACTTATCTCTGGTGTAAAAAAAATGGAACCATCCTCATCAAATTGCATAGCTCTGATGAGATGGTTCCAGGCATCACACACTGTTGCGGCAGGCAAGTTTCTGTCACTGTATGCAATGTCAAAAACATTGTCATACGTTAGTAGCATTTATTAATTGATTAAATAGGTAGAATTATCCTTCACACCAACACAACCTACTGTATAAAGTTTTATTTCTTAAACATTACCTCATCCTGAGATATTCTCTCTTAGACATCCTATTGTCCCCTTATTATACCTTGTGTATAAGAGGGTAGGGAGTTAATGAGGATTTAACTCGTTACTAGCATTTATAATTTTTGTTATAAAACTCATTTCTACACTTATAATTAAATCCTTTTGGGATTTTATAATAATTAAAAATATGAAAAGTTTATATAACAAAATCTCATAACAGATGGCGCCACACACAATTTTATTTATTATAATTTAATTAAAAGTATAAAAGTTATTTTCTAAATAAAATCTCACAACAGCCGAGAAAGTTACGCAACTCGTTACTATTGATAGATTTTTTAATAAAAAAGTTACATTTCTTGAAACGAACGATCTTCTCAGTTTGAATATAGAAAGGTCTATATTTGATCGTTTCGTGTAAAATGCATACACGATATTTTCTATAGGTCGGATGAATTCATAAAATTTGCTTATTTAATATACTAATTAACGTTTACGTAACTAAACTATAACACACATATTTAATATAACCGATGACGTCAGGTAAGCGCTCTTAAAATGGCGTCGGATAAACGAAATATTACGAAATTCAGTAAAAATTGCGCTGTCGGTCAATCGGAAACTTGGTCGGAAAATGCCGGACGAAGGAGAGGGAGGATTTCCTCTAGTTTTGGGGGTGGCGAGGTAAAGATGACGTTCGATTTTAGAAAATGTCGCTTCTAACCCCTTGTAGAGAATGAAAACCGAAGGCGGGGGGCGGTAGGGAGAGTCTCGGTCCCAATCCGTCGTCACTCTGGGGATAGAAACGTGAAAAATACAGATATTTAGCCTTAAAATTCAAAAAGAATCCGTGACGTCAATCGTATTCGAATTCGTTGCGAGCTTTCTAATCTCGCAACAATTGCCGTTTCTATGGAAACGCGTATTGTTGCAACACGATTTTGCGTCACTTTGCACGTTTTTCGCTTGCCGGACAGACGTGTGCGCTCTTCGCTCTTGTTTCTGCTGTGTTTTTTTGCCTGTTTTCGGTGTTTTTTGCCTTTTTTTACGTGGTTTTAAGAAGACTTGTGGACGCCGACGTTACACCAAGTAAGATTTTAATTAGAATTTAGCTAATTGTAAGATTTTATTTTCGTTTCGTTTAGTCCAACTCTCGGAGACGACATCGGCCGACTCGGACTTTGCATATTCGCATTTAAATCTGCCATCGCTTGTGTTTTTCGTTTGAATTACCATCCGAAACGCACCTCTTCGACTTTTAAACCAGCCGCCACATTGGAAAGCGACCGAAGCGCCGAAAAGGATTAAGTATTTGTTCATTGGTTTATTTTCGTAATTAATTAATTTAGATATTTTATAAACACGGTCAAAGAATAAGGATTATTTGCAAATATCTTATTTATAGAAACTCAATTAAAACTTAGCTAATACTAACTCTAAATACGAATTGCGTATCGTAATTTTAACTAAAACATACACTCGAAACCGGATGGACCGAAGGATAAACGGAGACCGTATTCTGAAGCATGACACGTTCCTTTGACACATCCGGGACGTCAAAAATTTCGCCCTTTAACCTCCGACTTCTCCATTGAATCTATGTATTAATATTAGTTACAACTCTTTTCAATGGCTTACTTTGCGAGAATTAATTTGTCTGCAGCTCCGTAACACTTAAAACACATCTAATACACTTAAGAGTTATCAATACAGGCTGGACATAAGGAATTCTTTTCCTTAAGCTGTTTGTCTCTTTCCACAATGCGGTCTTTTCTGAGTGCAGTCCATCTTCCACACTTACGTAACCCTCTGCAATTGCTTTGTGCCACTTAAACGTGTTTTCGTCGACTCTCGTACGGAATTTCTTTGCACGAAACTCTCTTAAATGCCGTCGTTGCGTTTAGGTGACGCACGTTAGGGTAAATTGCTCTAGGACGAAACACTTGTTACGACTTGGGCTTGAGATCGAGTACGAGTGCCTTTTGTGCTTGGCTACGTGCGGCGTGTCTTTACTTTTCTGTCGTACAAATACAAATTACACGTAAGAGAGTTTATTCGTTCCGGGTCGGTCGTCTCTACTGCAAATGCAATTCGAATGTTCTAGCAATTTCCGGTAGGATCTAACGCCAGCTCTGTCGTGAGTATTATCTTGTACTTTTTCTGCGTTAAGTATATACGAGACCCATTAATATATATATATTTTGTTTCTTTACAGAATGAAGAGCTGGCGGTTTTGGCGTTGGCTGCGGCCCAAGAAGATGAAGAAAAGTGAAGGGCGTTCTCCTTCCGCAATCGATGAAGAGAGGGTCTTTTCCCCCTTTGAGCGGGGAGAGGAACTCTCTTCCATCGATTGCGGAAGGGGTTCTTCCTTCACGGGATCGCCTTCGGGAATAGCGGATGTCGACAGCATTCTCTGTTCTGCGTTGAACGGAGAGGAGACATTTCGCCATTCGGACGTGTTCCGAAAGGTGAAATGTCTCCATGTTGACGACATCATCTTTGACGCACTGGGAGGGGAGGAATGTTTCGATCATTCCTCCCTTTTCCAACGAGTGGGATCCTCTCGTTCGGTGNCTATAGCCTGTACATTCTACAAAGCAAGTAAAATATAAGTATGGTATGCAGGAGATGCAGGTTTGAATCCTGCTCTGGGCAGATTTTTTTCTTTCAGAATATTCTAAATTATTTAATAAATATTAATTTAATTTAATAAGAAATGGTGCCTAATGCCTCTAGTGACAAATTATTTAGTAATTAATTAAATACAATTGCAGAAAATGGCAATTCAAAATTTCATTTTTCAAAATATTTAGAAAATTCAAATTTTTTTAACATTTAAAAATTAATAGTAAATTATAAAATCTTAATAATAGATTTTTTTTAATCCAAAATGTAATAATTATCTTAATAAAGATAAATTCTTAGAATTCTTTATTAAGATAATTATCCTATAGTATTTAATAGTTAATCCTATAACAACAGTAAATGGAAATGTAAATTCAAAGCTCCAATAAAATAAAAAGTGACTGTTACAAAAACGTCAATTCCATGCTTATACTAAAGGATATAAAAATAAATGTTGTAGTCAAACAGTGATAATACAGAATAACTAAAAAATGAACATGATGTTATGATTTTTAAGATGCACAGTACAAATATATTGTAAAGGCTAAAAACAGTATATATATACATAATAAATAAGAAAAAACAGGCAAAAAGTATAGATTAATATAAAGGAAAGAAAAGCTTACATATGTTATTACTGAAATAACAGTTTAAATTATGAAAATTTGCATATTAATTAATTAAGGAATTTGTTTAATCATTAAAACTTAATTACAATGTAACTTACATAATATTTTAGTTCATGTAAAAAATAAAATTTCAAGTTGATATTTTATAAATAAAAATTGAAACTATCATTATTAATGTAAACTGTATTTTTAAAATAAAATTATGATTTATCTGAAACTTTTCAGAGATCAGGACAATCAGAAACAGAAATTAGTAACAAATGATGAAATAAAAAATGTGTTTAAATAAATTAACCAAAGTTAGTATTTTATATTAAGTTTTGTAATATGATCAATATTATTATTATTTACTATTATACAGTATTATTAATATGTAATAAGGGTACAAGTCCAGTTAAGCTTAAATCAAACTATCATTTCTAGAAAATTGGTTATTATGCCTCCCTTGGTTAGCATTACAAAATATAATCTGTGCAGTTATTTAATAGTTTTTAATTACTTGGGTGTCTGAAAAAACAGTTTGGCTGATACCTAATTTCAAGAATTATGTATTTAAATCCTATTGTGAATCAAACTTCTTTTTCAGATGTTTTTAAATTATTTTTTTAATTTTTATAGTTAATAAATTTAATGAGCTGGTCTTTTATAAATTTAAAAAAAATATATATATATATATCACTATTAGTATAACATATATTCTGTTATAATAAAATTAATAATTCCTTAATCAATGCTACTTAATCTACTCTAATATGGAATTAAATAATACAGTATGAAAATAAATCTGATAGTATACTTTGAATCAAAATTTATTAAAAATAATAAAAAAAAATCATGAATATTTTATTGAATATATTCTTACAGGTATTATTTGACCTTTTTCATTGCAAACTTTAACAGTAACTTCTACATTTCTATCAGATGATTTAGCTCCTTTAGAAAACTCTCCTTGTACCAGAGTGAGATAAAGATCATTTCGAACATCACCTGTCATTATAAAATATTTACATAAATATTAAACTTTCACAATTATTTAAAATTATGTCAATATGATTGTTTTATTCTTCAAAAAAAATAGAACAGATTAATAAATCCACTCAATTTATTATTAAATTAAAAATGTTCTTTCCATTATTCTTTCTCATATGACTTTTTACATGTTCTGAAAATGTTAAAAAATATATTATTAAACTTCTAAATCTAAAGATAAGATTTCATCTATTATCACTTCTCTTTCTCCTCTTTTTTAAACTGAATTAAAATAAATGAAATTTTAATGATTTTAAATTTAAATTAAAAAAAAAATCAGGTATCTCTTGTACAGCACGGCACTTCTACAACATGGTTTTTCTCTAACACTGTTGGCAAATTGAGGACATCTCTGTACAACATAGTTTCCGGTTTCATTCTGACATGGTTCAAGAATTCGGGAAATCGTCTGTATAAAATTTCAGTTTTTAAGTGCAAACTCCATTATTTGATATTTTTTTTATACAAGCCATCTCAAATTTGCCCATGGATTTTACAATATTAAAATTTTCAATTTGTTTTGTGTCTTTCATCAGGTTAACTTCAATGAAAACCAATAGTACAATTTTTTCCTCCTTGTTCTAGCTTTCCTTTCAATCAGATATTGTTGTTGCTTTCAGACATTAGCATTTAAGACTGTCACCATGTTTTGGTTTTTTAGATTAATCTTCATATTTAGTAAAGTTTATTTAAACATTTTTAAGTATGTGTTATTAAGCTTTTTTTTTAACCATAGGTAAGTAATCATTCATAAAAATAATGAATGCAATACAGTGATATCTTGGTACTCGAACCCAAATTCTAGAGAAAAGTTGCTCAGTACTCAATTGAACAAATGAGGGTTCCTAGAACAAATTTTTGATTAATAACATATTTTTATTTTGATGATGATAAAAAATATTAATAAATAACATAAAAACTTTTGACGATAAAAATAAGAAAAATGAAGAGGATGTTGCTATTTCTGACCAAGATTGACAAAAAAGCTCAGATGACTGTACTTTGTAAAAAGGAAAACATCCTCGTTTAACTAAAATTAATTTTAATTCTTAATACAGTGCTTTTAATTGTGATTTTTAGTTAATTATTGGAAATAATTTATTGATTTCTTTAATCAACATATATATCTTAGCAATGAAAAAGAATAATGTACTTTTGCTAACTTTTGGAACATAACCATATGTTTTGTATTAGTCCTTTGTTTTGTACAGTATGGATTCACACAACATTGCACTTTTTCGGAACATAACTACAGTTTTATATGAGGGATACCTGTATCTCAAACAATATAATGAGATTTACACATAAGCTCAAGCGTGAAAGTCAAATGACATGGCAGTAATATTCTTTGCAATAAAGTCATACATTTAGTAATTCCTATGATGTAGTTTTCTGTGTATCTATGGGAAGAGCTGTTCACAAGTATTCTATGGTGTTCACAATAATGGCACTACAGTAGAGCATCGATTATCCGACTCAATTGGGGACTGGGGTTGGTCGGATAATTGAAAAGTCAGATAACCAAAAAAGTATGAAAAAATCCATTATTAATGTAGTATATTATTATATCCCATGTAATTAGTATATTGCTATTAACCTACATTGCGTTAAATTTTCATCAATGGTAAGCCTAACAAAATTTTTTTTTAAATAATAATCGTCGCTATTGTATCGTTAAAAATTATTTTTAAATTATTTTATTGCTCACAAAACAAACCACCGCTCGTAATTAGAAAATTAAGTCTCATTTAAATACTGGCCTCCCTTTCATGGTCGAGCCAGTGTTGCTAGCTAAAACACGCAAAAATTTAACAAAAATAATATTAAAGTAGCCAAGACATAGCCAAATATTGTAGTGCCACATCACTAGCGGACATTTGAATTTGCCGACTAGAACGCGGTCGGTTAACCGAGGTGACGGTTAATTGGAGGGTCGGATAATTGATGCTCTACTGTATTTATAGGCATTATATAAGATTTGATTGTTTATTAGTTTTAAATTATCCAAATTTATAATTAAAAAATTCAAATTAAATATATTTTTTTAACACTAAATACAAATTTATTAAATTTGAATTAATCAGATTCAACTGTGCCGTAATTACTATCCTTGTATCATTATGATAATTGATATAACTCGAAAGCAAGAAATAAATTTATAATAAGTTCTCTGCAGCATTTTTTGTGCTTAATTCCAAAGAACATACAACTAAAAGAGAGAACAACAAGCAATCAAGTACTAAGAAATAAATTATTATGTCTATTTTAGCATTTATTTATATATAAGCAAAGATATACAATTATACTTTACAGTTAATTCAATAAGAAATAATCATAAAAACAGTATAGGTTTAAAAAATTCATTTAAATAAATATATATAATTATTTAACAATTAAACATTTTCTAAACTTTATATAAACTTAACTATATAAAAATAAATTATATTTGTAAAAGCGAGTCATATTACCCAACTTTAAATTTATCTAAATAACTTTTAAGAAGTTTTTTGGGAGATTTTTAATTATTGTATTAATAAAAATATAGTTTTATCATTTTTAAAATCGTTAATTAGTTCTTAACAACTTTTGATAATACAATTTATGATTATATTTATCAGGAAGTAAGGCAAGAAGAGTCATGTGTAGAATTGTAGCTGTTAAACCCCATATGCGATATTTCCCGACTAAAAATACTGGAAGGCTGTAACCTGTACCGGAACGAAATTGAGTATAATACCAATTATTCGGATTACATAGTTCTTCAATGGATATAGTAAATATTTCTTCCACTTCTTGTTCATTTATAGTAAGAGCATCAAAATTAAAGTCTTCGAGATAAGCAAGAACGGGTTCGACAATTATATCTCCCTTACGGGAAGGCACTGAATTCAATTTTCCCCAGACTTTAATTTTATTGGATGGGAAACCGAGCTCTTCTTCTGTTTCTCTCATAGCTGTATAAATTATATCCGGATCTTGCACTTCCTGAAGACCTCCAGGAAAGCTAATTTCGCCACGATGCTTTGTCAAAGAAGTGGATCTTAATGTCAGTACAACAGAAGGATTTCCAGAAACCAAACATAACGGAATTAAAACTCCAGCTTTTTTATCAGTAGATGCTTGTAATCCTTTGACAGGAAGTTGATTTTTTAAACGATTTATGCACCGTTGTTTATTCTCTTCCGAAAATACTTGGGTGGTTGGAGACGAATTCTCCACGACACTGGTATACGAATGAAAATTTCTCACCAACATCCAAGGAATTTTCTGAGAATAAATTTAATTTTAAAGTAAAAAATTATTCCCAGTCAAGTAATTCAAAAAAGTAATTTAATCTTTATTTTTCATTTAATAATAATAATAATAATTAAATTTAAAGTTGGGTATTTTGATTTTTTATAAATTCCTAATTTTTAGTCATAAATTTGCATATAGGAAAATTACAAATGTAATTAATTTTTATTGTTATTTACTACAGAAGATTTACAGCATATTTTAAAATTCTCACCTTTGATTGCAAATAAAATGAACCTCCTTTACTTTTATCATTTACAGAAAATAAATGTTCGTAATTTTTCTGTACAACTTCGGGATTAATTTTTTCATCTACATTTAAGATTTTTATAGCTTCCTATTTTAAAATTATAAAGTGATATTAATAGAAGATATATTATTAATTCTTAATAATACTACAAAGAAGAGGATAATAATCTATATAATTCATACTTGTAATGTTATTCCTGCCTTTGCATTTGCCGCAGCCCTCGCAGTTCCAGATTTACCACCTCCGGCTGTTTCTGCTGCCGCTCTACTTGCTAAAAATTTTAAAAAGAATGTTAATATAACATTATTATAATTATCAAACAAATAATACTTGAAAGAGGCATGTAAGTAATAGTACTTGATGATATATGCAGTATACTTGCTGAACCAATTATGGGATAATAATTATATTTAATAAGAAAAATTAAAAGTAGATTGTTAATAATATTGATAAGACTTTAAATACAGTAGACCTTCCAATATATTTTTACTTGCAGATAGAACATGCTAAAAAATTAGATAGATGAGTCAGTGAGTATAAATTTCTCATTATAATGATATTTTATTCAAACTTACACATTATAACAACATTTTAACATATCCTATATACTGTAAGTTCATTATTAATATATATTTTTAAAATATATTCAATTTAATGGACCCCTTTCTCCAATTGGTATGTTAAATTGAGAGCACTATACTTTCAAATTATTCACATATCATTAGGTTTATATCAAAACTAAATTACCAGAATTTTTGTGAAGGGTTACTGATTAAATATTAACACCATTGCAGTCAATTTTACCCAGTTGCACACCATTATTTAGATCACGTGTCCTTAATTATTAAATTGTTTTATTAATTTACCATTCCAGTGGAAATAATTGAACATGAAGTTAAATGTGTTGCGGCATTTTTGGTATCAGACTGGTCTGTAGGCAGTCACATCATATATTCTTTTGCTGAAATAAACTTTTATGGTTATTTGAAAGAAATTTGTGAGCTTTCATAAATTTTTCTATAAAATATGATGGAACAATTTATAGAAAAATATCTAAATAACAAGAAGAAAACTAAATTTTCCAAAAAAAGACAAGACAAAATTTGAGAACACCGCAAATCCAAAGACAAAAGTATCTACATAAACCTCACACAGATACAATTCTGCCACAAAGATACCAAATTTCTCTTTTATTTATAACAATAATAAATCCTAAAATAAACTAAAAAATTAAATAAATTTTTAATGTTGATGATATATGTAGTACACTTAATGTTTGAAGAGCCAGCTGGAGTCGAGATGAGTGTCTGAGAGGTAATATGATTCTGCCAAGAATTATTGCACTACCAAAGATGCAAATAAGCATTAGCATTGTTGATTTTATTAAGAAATCTGCACACATACACAATATCCAATGATGCAAATTTGAGAAATGACACACATCTTTCATTCACCACAGAGAATTAACATATACAGTAAGACCCCATTTAATGCTGCCTTGACTAACACTGATTCAATATAACATGGTCTGCTCGAAGCCTTAAAAAAGGCTGAAAATTTATGCTGATTCAAATTATCTTGGCATTTCGTTGGTTCGTATATAAAAGGATTATTTACGAACATGAACCAATCAGCAAAAGGTGGCAATTTGTTGTAGCACTGTACTTCCCCTAAATTTATGTTTGTTTGGTGCAATTTTGGAAAAAATATAACATTATAGATGCCATAGGAAATATCGAGTTTGCTTGGCAAGAATTAACTGATAAATGCATGAATGGAGTGTGGAAAAAGTTATGGCTGGAAGTATCCAAGAATTCTCAATGAGAAGAGAGAGAAGAGCCTATCGCTGTATCGTTAGGTTGACCAAATTGTCAACCTAATCAATACAGCAGGACTAGGGGATGTAGACAAGCAGGATATTGAGTTACTGCAGGTTTCTGGTGAGAGCCTTGCCAACGACAACCTTCAAGAACTAGCAGAACAAGGAATTCATGTAGAACTGGAAAATAGTGATTCTGAAAACAAAGAACCCAAAGAACTTGCTACAGATTTCCTTAGTAAAAGTTTGGTAACGATAACCGAAATTTTTTTGTTAAAGTTTCTGTCAGATGGCAAAATTTTTCTCTGTAAATAAAGACACAGTCGTTCCAAAAAATTATTTTTAAAACCACCATTTTATTATATATTATAGAATAAAACTTTAGATGACCAGACCTTCCTTTATAGGCTACTCGGCCATCCAGTTCAAAACATTCCTTAAAAACACCAAAAAATTTATCCAATTAAAAATATAAATTGTAAAAATTGGAACCGGTGGATCTTACAATGTCTTCAGGTTTTCCATTCTGTTCCATTTGGGAATTCCAGCCCTTTGACGGAAACTTTAACAAAAAACTTTTTTGCAACAATTCATCACCAGAGGGAATACCAAAAAATCTGCATTTAACAGTGCTTTCTTCCAGTGGATATAAAGGCCAGAATTTAATGTACAGTACATATTTTATTTAATGTACATATTTATAAAACTAAAATTAATTGTTTTCACTGGAAACTTGTCAGCACTATCTTTTTCCTCCTAGTTTCCTGATATCTGGATTCAAAGATCGAGAATAATCTTCATTATTGCAGATAGATGTTTATCAGTTAATCTTGATCAGTTAAGTTATTTTATTTAATTTCAGAGCATTGTGGCTGCAGGCCACAAAAAAAAAAATCACATTCGGGGACTTCATGCAGCCCACAAACCGCCAGTTTGACACCCCTGCTATAAATGATAGTTGACTTCTAAATAGTTTCCTGATGATCATTATATAGTCAAAGGGGGGAAATTACCAGAAATTTATTAGGTTTAAAAGTACAAGTTTAAGTAGGAATGTCTAATAATAATATAAAATGTGGAGAAATAGGAGAGAACCAAAGATGAAGCATATTTTACATTTGTCTTTAGCAATTTCTTGAAAAATTGAAATGAAAGATAAATGCATATGGCACACAAAGGCTTTTAGGCTTTTTCATAATTTTTAATGACACTCTTAGTAAATTTAGACAAAGAAAGAATTGTTAGGAGAGTTCTTATCTGATATCTGCTTTCAAATTAACTTTCAACATACAGTACACGTAACTAATCCATTTGTTACTGGCAAGAAATTATTGTAATTTTAAATATACACAAAAATGTACAACTTTTGCCCTTATCAGAGAATAAGGTTGTTTTAAAATACTATATTATTTATTTATATAATTCAGAAATCTTTACAATTTATTTTATTTCTTTTATGAACTACATATAGCTTTATATGACTTATAAATGGAATAAAATAATAGTTTTAAAACAGCAATTATCTATGTTTGTGATTAAATACTTAATTATTTTAATGAATTTACTTTATATCAACATTGATTGCCTTGCCTAAATTTATACGTTTATAAATAAGTGCTTATTATTCTTTACTTAAAATTATGCTTGTGAACAGTTTTACAACTGTCTCAAACCCTCATAAATTATAGTACAGTAAAACTTGTCCAAAATTAAACCTGCCTAAATGGGAAAATTCTTCAAAACAGTGCAATTTCTAAAGGAAAAAAAACCTGTTTAAAACATAAATAATATTCTGTACTATACAATTCTGCTTTGTTTAGGTATAACAATGTATTCTACTAAAAATGTTATTTTTTACTTTTGGTACACACAATTAGTATAATTAGTTAAAATATTATGAGATTGTGTATCTTTGTATAGTACATGATTATATCAAAACTTAAAACATTCTTTGGAGGAGATATATGAATTACATTCCTACAACTTTTGCAAAAAAAACAAAAAAATATATATGAATCCATTAACGTGTTAACATAAATTAAATTTTAATAAAAATAACTTATTAAGTTCAATCAATTTTCTAATAGATCAACAATTTAGATAATCACAATGCAAATGGCAACATGATTGTTTTAACATATAAAATCAGTTTCGTAATTATAACATTTTCACAATTTGGGGGCAAGTGACAAAGTAATTTTTATAACAAAGCAATAATGCATGGATGAAAACAATTAAATTGTTAAAAAAAACTCCATTTTATCCAAATCACTTTTTTTGGAAAGTTGAAATTAAGATATTCTCATTTTATTCTTTTAACATCACTTCATGCAAATTAGTTTTTGATGATTTATCCATAATGTTTTTGCATACAACAAAAGGTTTTCTTAATTTTCATAAGATGCCATGTAGAACTAAGCTAAGCAAACATGAAATTTACTAATAAAAACTTATCTTAAGGAAAAGAAGAGCCTTTGCTCAATCATGCATGAGTTAGGTTGTTTGCTGCATATATACAAAATTTTATGAACAATCCTAATGAATACGGAAATAAAAGATGAAATGGATGCAAAGAATTCTATAAGTATAGAAAGAAGTTTATGACTATACAAAATTATATACATTTCCAAGTCTATCTTTTTATCCATTTAACACCAACCACAGAAGTAACAGTTACAACAGCTTGAAGAAAAACTTCATTAAAAAGACCAATGACAGTTAAAACAACTTATAAATAAGCTAAGGACTTGATAGTATGGTGAGAAAATTGTACTTTTGTTTTTAATGTGAAAACATCAGATCCTCCAGTAAAAGGCTGATGTTTGATATCGTTTTTAACTTTGTGAATTTTTATTTACTGTCATTGGTCTTTTTAATGAAGTTTTTCTTCAAGCTGTTGTAACTGTTACTTCTGTGGTTGGTGTTAAATGGATAAAAAGATAGACTTGAAAATTTATATAGTCATAAGCGTCAATATAGAAGATATCCAGAGTTATCACATAAAAAAGTTTTCTGCAAGAGGTGAACAATCCACTGCAAAAATTACCTCCAATTCTACAAAATGCAACAGTAAAATTAACCAAGAATTTGAACAAAACATCTCTAAATTGACCATATGGCATGTCTTGCTCTGAAATCCAAATACTGAATGGCTCTAGCTTCAGCAAGTCACATTTACTTCCTCGGCTCATTCTGCACGTTTGAACTGCTAAGAAAAACATATCTCGAAACTGGAAAAAAGTAAGATTTTTCATTTGATTTATTCAGCTGAATGTTGCTTAATATTTTACTGGTCATGGACAGGCCATCAATTTCGATGGTATTGAAGAGATTCTGTTCAATACCATCTGTTCTAAAGAAAACTGGTGATGGCAATGGCAAACTCACTTCACAGATGAAGAATACAGATTACCTCCAGATCCTCACTATGAGTTTATTGAAATCAGCACAAG